TTGTGTTCTTCTTTTAGAGCACCCCTTGCTTCCTTGTGCCTAAAAGCTTAATGGAAATGCTGATTTAATATTCTAGCAATACTTGGAGCCTGCCCACACAGCCAAAGGTACCAAAATATTCAATGACTATAGCGCCACTGTGCTTAATAGACCAGCAAAACCACCTGATCTGAATCCCACAGATAATTTATGTGGCATTGTGAAGAGGAAGTTGAAGGACACCAGACCCAACAATGCAGACCTAAAGGCTGCCATATCAGAGGTAAACACAGAAACCAAATAGAGGCCAATGTTAGAAACCCTTAGACTTAGTGTCCTGTCAGCATTTGATTCAGACAAAATCTACTGTTTAACATTACTTGTATGAAGTTGTCTCACCAATAAACGAAAACCTGCAAACTTTAGAGATCTTAGTAGTTTCTGTTCTTTTTCCCAGCTCTTTGATTAGTCAACTGTGAGTATCGACAGCCTGGCGTGTGTGATCATCACAACAAACTGACAGTAGGGAGCTCGATAGCCATCCCACCCAGCCTCCAATACCATCTGTCTAGTATGGATCTCTGGAGGTTGACGCCTGTTGGTTTGGGAGAAGTACACACCAGCAGCCTCAAGGGCTGGCAGAGAAGAGTCGGAGGAGGTGTGCCTGCTGGAATTGAAGTTGTTCAGTCATCTACACATGCAGAAAACTGTGAGTAGTAGGGTATATGAGCTCCTTTTCATGATCTCTATCACCCCCTCCCCTCCCACATAGGACACAGTGATCAAACACAACTGTGATGTCTTAATTAAGAAGTACTAACAGCCTTGATTAAAAGGCAGGAATGAAAGGATCCATCAGTGAAAGAGGCAATTCCCTGTCGGCCACAGGCAACATAAGTAGATGGAAGACCAAAGCATGTGAAGAGAAAGCAATGGAAGAAATTTGGACACAACAATAGACCAGAAATATGCAAGTGAAAGTGGATTGATGCGTGATTGACTTCATGCAGAACATTGACATAACTTTACAAAAACATCTCATAAGTAACAGTTGTGATAAAGGAAAATCAGGTTTTCATTAGTAACCCCCTGATTGTGAATCTTTGGATATGAGATATTTTTCATTTTGTAGGTAGTATAAGAAGGGGGATGAGATTTTAGAGTAATACTGCTGCATTTGATCTAAGTTTGCGTTTTGTTCCCATTCTCCAACATTAATATAGAAATTAACAAACCAGTCTATAACCAGTGACAGACTTTCCTTTGTAATGCACACTCTCATCTTCAGCAGTTAATGCACAGAACAACCTTCAGTGGCTGACGGCAGGCCAAAGCAGATGTAAGCAGGACAATCAAAAAAGAGCTTGCAAAATAATATAATTTTAAAAAGTCATTTTTAAATCAGCAGACATAAGGAGAACAAAAAATGTTCCTTTTTTTTCAATCCTTCACAGATGCTCAGAAATGCAGAATAACAGAAGACATAAAAAAAAAACACCTAAATCAGTTCACTGAAGTTAGTTTTCAATAAAAAAAAAAATGACAACTGGTTTCTACCCTGGTTTAGCAGGGGTATGTTATCTAGGGGAAACAACAAAAATTGGCACATGCCAAACTTGTTGAGGTGAAAATTGCTACAATATAATAAATTGGAAAATAAACCCAAAACAATAAACCCCCTGCTCTCTCAGTAAAAAAGAAACAGAGTCATTTATGGAGTCACTAAAAGCAAGAACATATTTAAGGTAACCCTTATGCTTTAAGACATTTAATTGAACATGCAAAGGTGAATAAATGTTCAAAATTAGATTTACATCTGGTTTTGCTTCAAAGGTAAACTTCCAAATTATGAAGGCAAAAGCAAACTCTTCTGCTTTTAGATATTTACCATGATTGATTGATTCTTTTTTTTACTAATCTAACAATGGAGAAATGTACTCTTTACATTGGCTCAATAGTAAAAAATACGAAGGTACCAAAAGGAGGAAAAGGTGCATGGAGGTATATACAGTATATATATAACAACTGAGGTGTCTTATTTAACAGGATTAATATACAAGGTTATTGCACAGGGTATTAAATGGGTATTTATATGGAATGGTATACATTTAGTTATTGCACTTGGTATCAAATATAAAAAACAGGCTATTGCCCAGGGTATTAAATAGTCAACACAGATGTTGATACAGTCAGTCTCTTAAATGTTGATCATATATATTTAACTGAAAGGTTGGTCCATAAGCTTCAGCTGTTACTTTTTTCTTTCAATATCTGTCAGTTTGATAACATCCTATTAGATGAACTGACATACCATGTAACAAAAAACAATTGTTACCTATACACTTAAGCAAAGTAATATGCTAAACTTAAATTTAAAAAATACTTTACTAACCCAACAAGGAAATAAAATTTTGTTGTAGAATTGATTTATATGTTGTGCTGATGGACAGCACTGTTCAGGATCTTGTCTTTGTTTACTACTATCATAATAAAAGAGGATGTTTGATCATTTCAACTTTTGATTCATTGTGTTAGATTTCGTTTGCTATGTGGCATTATTTTTCAGTATCAAATATGCATGATGTTAACATTTAACTTTGCTTAGCTATGATTATTCCTAAAATGAACTTACTCGATTTTTATGAGCCAAAAAAAGAGAAATTGATCCGATTTGCTCAATTTTGGCTGAAACCAGTGAGTGAATGACAATAACTCCACAACCTGACAAGTATAGGGACAGTAAAACACACTTGGACCATTGCAGATCAACCTTTACCTAATCACTGATGCCTGACCACCACTGTGTTAACAGTTAAAAACAATGATCTCTGCCTGTATGCTATTGTTTGAAAACCCAATAGATTTTTAATTCTCATTTTCCAGTGTAATACAGCATTTACATTTTGTTAATAAAAAAGGGCATTTTATTTAAGCTACAAAAAAGGTAAACATTTCATTAGTGGGTTTTTAATTCTATTGGTTATTAGTATTATTGCCTCACAGCTGAAAGAGAACAGTTTTAAATCTCATAATCAGACATTCAGAAGTTTTGTTGCGTCCCCTCAGCTGTATGGGTTTCTTTCAGCATTAAAAAAAAATAAATAAATAAATAAATTATATATATATCTATATATATATAAATGTTAACTAAAAGAAAGCAAAACAATTATACAGTAAATGGGATTACTTTAACATGATGAAGAAGCTCTTAAGTCTAACAGATACATCATTGAGTATTTATTTTACCCATAATGTGGAGCGACATGAGATTGCAACAGTTTTCTTCTGTCCCCGTTGTGTTTCACACAGGCAGCAGACACACCTCAGCCTCACTGACAGCCCACAGCCTGACTGCATGCTGCTGCATAGCTCAGCACAGCTGTCTGTTGTCTGTTTCTTCTGAGGTCTACTCACTCCTTCATCACTCATTTTGTGCCCACTCAGCATGGGGGTCATCTATACCTCAATCATTTCCTTGGAACTTTGGTTCAACTCCTATTTTGCAAAGAATTATGTGATTTTGATTAAAACTATCTGTTTAAACAATTACATACTGGGGAACATCCTGGGGGAAAGAATGATCCCAATAGACATGAGGGGATGTGAATCTCCAATTTCCAGATTTTACCCATGCTAACTTTCCTCAAATTATAAACAGCGTTCTAATCCTCTTGGAAGAAAATTATAATAGTATACAGTCCTGGCTCTCTCTATAATATAGAAGCATATTTAAAGGGGCATGCTGAGATTACTTCTGTCAGCATTTCAGCTAAACAGCAGAACCATGTTGACACACAACAGATGAATGTAAAACCTTGAGAGGAAAGATGTGCTTGAAGCAAATCCCTAAAAAAAATGTTTTTCATAAACACACTCTCATATTATCTTGAGTGTCTCCCCCAGCAGGCACAATCACACTCAGGCAGATAATTCAGTGTCACAGAGAGAGAGCCTTGTCCATGACCCTCTGGTCCCCTCCAGACAGATGAAGCAGCTGGACAGGGACCCACGGCTGCCCAGAACTTACTTCCCTCGGGGAGCTCAAAGAGAAGAGTCTCCTCTCTGACTCGGAGGATGACCAGCTGAGCTCAGTAGGCCAACGCTGTGCTATGTCCCCATGCCCAGGAAGGTCTAAGCAGGAGGAGCAAGACTTGCAAATGTGTAGCAGTACAGTGATTTGTTTTTTCTCACTTAACCAGCTTAGTTTTACCAACTCATATTTGTCAATTTTCACAATAAAAGAACAATTTTAAAGGAAAAAATAAAAATATCTTGGTTATACACATATAAAAATACATTCAGCTAACTTAAAACATACTCTGTAATGTCATAAATGCATATAGTATGTGCAATTTCAAGCGCGACTTTTGTTTGTACTTTGGCTTAAATTAATTGGCAAAAGAGACAAATCAAATGCAGGAAAACATTTAAGTAAATCAAATAATATTACAAAGCTGGAGATATTTTGTTATGAGTGTAAAGTCCAACAGTTTTTTCCAGTAGCAAGAGAGAATTATTTAAGTACATATCAATATTGCATAGTTTCGACTGCCTTTGCTGCTCTAATGAAATATTAAGCAGTCAGGAACTTTGTGTTTCATCATAATGCCAAGATAGAGTAGACCTGAACACATGACGTGATTTTATAAGAGGTATTGTTTTGTAGAAAAGCAAGCACAGCATTTTTGCATAACTATGGTAGAAAAGGCTTATTTTACATTTCAAATTAATATCTTCTGTTATGCTTTACACTTGGTGTAAAGCATAGTGCATGTTTGTTGCACGCCTTAGATTAGAATTTGCAGACTGCAATGTTTAAACACTGCTCAAGCATTGCTCTATATACAGTTCTGTAAGGCAAGCTCCGGATGACAAAAGGCTCTAAGCAGCTCTATTAATCAAGTAGGTATAAAGTGTTTGGTTTTTTTTTTTTCTAAATAGAGAGGAAAAGAAAACCTGCAATTAAAATGTCCGACAGTAATGAAGCAAAAAAAAAAAAAAAGACTTCAGGGATATTGAACAAATAGTTGTTTTATTTAAAAAAAAAAATGATTCAGACTAAGTACAGGAAAAGAAACAATTGGATGTGTCAATCTGAGTCTGAGTCACTCTGAGCTTTAATGATGCGTTTGGTTGGGCTTTCACTCAGAGTGCCGAAGCTACGTAGCGGCCAAAGCTGTGAAGGGAAAAAAAAGATGCAGAATAACAAGGAGTTAAAGCATAAATAAGACTTTGTTAATACAAACATAAAACCACTATAGGAAAAAAAACAACACTTTATTTCACATCTTGGACACACTCTTCAATAAAGCTTGTAATGATGCATTTGACCTCATTAAAAATATTGTTATTTCATCAGCTGTCATAGCAGGGCCTCCAGTGGAGTGCTGCCATCCAATCAGATGGACAGAAGGTTGCCTGACCTATTTCCAGGGTCATGCTTGTGATGACATCTTGTGACATGACAACATAGCAGAATGGAAAGCTAGACAATATGCTGTCCAGGCTTTAGCCAATCAAACACACTTGTTTCAAACTTCCAACTGACTATAATTTTTGATTAGCACTTGGTCATAATGGAGGGATTTATCGGAGAGCAAAATGGCGAACCTCCAAACACAATACCATTTTCTCAACCCAGATAAGGCATACATTTACCTTAAAAGCTTTTTTTCCCCTTTTTTTTATTGTAAATAGCATGCTTTGCACGTTACCTTTAAGCAAACACGACCTCGGATTAGGGCATAAGGAATTGGGCCATAGTTCCTAGAGTCAGTGGAATTCATATGGTTATCCCCTTCCAGCCATACATGCCCCAATGGAACCTAAGAAAACATGTAACACACAAAACATGGACAAAAACGATTTTCAGTTATACTTGCCTAAAGTAAACAAGGAAAGCAACTCCTCAGGAAACAGCATAGAAAAGTGAGTTACTCTACTATTTACAAAAACTCTATCCAAACCCCACCCCTTTCATCCTAAAGAATCCCCTCAGCTATCCCTCCCTCCTCACGTATCTTAACGTCAACATGATCTCTCTTTATTACCACACTTTTGTAGGAGAAGGGTCATGGGTAACAAACGGGATTGGGGAAGGAGACTTAAAAGAACTTCAAAAAGGGTCATTAGGCTGTTGGCTGAGATTTGCACCCCTCTAACCCAAGGAGTGCAAAGCCAGAGAGAGGCCTGGGATGTATGGACAGAGGGAAAAAGAGGGAGAGAACTAAGCTGCGGCTAGCAGCAGCGTCCAAGGGTCTCCACCGCGGTCCGACCTGCCAGTGGGGCAGTCATCCAAGCGAGCTCTAATTCACAGTGACACCAATTATGATTAATCTCATCACTTTAGGAGAGTAGGCTTGTCAAGGCCCTAATTAAGTGTGCTGTCCCCCTATATGTGCAGACAGGATCAACAACACATTATATTGTCATAATGGGCATCACAATCCGGGAATCTATTTTTGCATTGCCTAACTTTTAACTGTAAAAGTCCTCTGGAAGAAAGCAAATAACTTGGAAAAAGGAAACAGGAAACTAGCAAGGGGATGATGTCATGCCTCTTCCTGTGCTTCCTCTCCTTCCCATTACTCTGGTTTCTGATTACTGCCCTGTCTTAATGCAGGATGCTGCGTTTCATTTCATATTTGATAATTGAGACAGATGATGTGACATAATCACAAGCCACTGACACGTTGACCTAACATGAGGTAAACAACTCGCTGACTAACAACGACTCAAATGAATATCATTAAAGTAGTCATCTGAGAACCATATGTCAACATGCTGGATTCTCACCATTACACCTCATTAACATGGTAACATATGCTGGCTCCCAAGCACCAGAAAAGAAACGCCACTGTTTGTCATCTGCCAAATCATCATTGGACTCTTTTTGTTCTGTTTTTACATTTCTATTAAAAAAAACACCCAATACTGTTAATCCTATGGAAATAAGTGCTTGATTAGCAGTCATCAAGTGCCTCTCCGAAATGTATCTTTTAAATAGTTCAAGAAATTCAAACAATTGGAAAGGCATGACAGATTGGTTAGAGCTCATGCATATGATGAGTAATATTATGTAAACCAAGACAAATTAAAGTATTAATTGCAGACTCCCTCCACAATGTGTCCATAAGTTCCCCAGGTTTGTTTCCAAGACTAAGGAAATATTAACACAAGCAGCTAATTTTAATGGCAGCAACAACATTTTGCACTGAGGTGTCTAAAGGTGTGCAGCTTAAGGGAAATTTTCAGATACGGCACCAGAACTAGGCCTTTTTTGGAGCAGCGTAGCAGCACAGAATGCAGAATTAACTTAATTAAGCCAGGATGTATGGAAAACCTCAAAATAATTCCTTATCTTAGTTTTTGAAACACTTTTCAAAATCCTGCAGTGAGCCAATAGCTAAAAAAAAGAAAATTTCCCCCCATAAGTAAAGGAACATTTTTGGTTTCAAACCCTCCCCTGTAATGAATGAACACTTTTTGGGGGGGTTAGAAACAAACAATGTATATGAGAAGTAAATCCAAACTGCTGAATAAAACAAAAAAGAAAATGTTTTACAAAGATTAAATCTGACCAATAAAGCTACCTACGGTAGACCCTCTGATATCAGGCGGTCATTACATGTTATTCTAAACATAAAAACACACGTCAGATCACAGAATAGTCTATAATATTGGCCTATTTTTAATTAGAGGCATTTCCTCCACCTTAAGGCTCATCTTACTTTATACAGATCCCTATTTGAACCTCATCTAACCAATTGTAATAATACTGGCTGTGATACCAATTCAAGTTACCTTCTAAGCCTAAAAAGTCTACAAAAGAGCTTTTCTTGTAATTACAGTCCCAGAAAGAAATCTATCTTTAAGGGTAAGAATGGGAAGTTTAAATTAGTTTGAATGTGTCATGTAAGGGTCACAAATATGGCATGAACTTAGTGAATATAATTAAAAAGTCCTAGTCCGTGCCCTTTAACAAAAAGAAATCTAACTGGAGTTGTCTGAAAAGTATAATGGAAATTTTGTCCATTTGATGGATTATTTATTGATAGCTATTAATGTCCATTAATGTCTGCTTTAATAATACTTTGATGTGTCCTTATATTTCTCACTGATTACTTCAGAAATGTAAAGATTGTTGTCTTTTTGTTGCATGTAAAAATAGAAACAGGTTAGGTATAGTAGGTAAAAATAGGTTTAAATGAGTAATTACATGGATGTTTGCTGTTTTTAAAATGTCAATTTGCCTAGTTTATAAGCTATGGTCTGCTTCAAGGTTATTCCAATTAAAAAAATGTATTCTATCTGAACTGTATGGATGGTTTTGATGTATCCTGTCTTTTCGTGATAAATTTAGTTAGTTAATTACCCCTTGAAGTAGCATTCATGACCTTCAGACAGAGCAAACTAGAGTGCATTTAAAATGTTCCACTCTTGTCTCATTATTATCCTTGTTTTTTCCTTGAGTCTAACACGGATCATTTGTGTAACGATAAAAGGCAAGACTGTTCTGTGCAGTGTTGGATTTTTGGGACACAGGGGTTTGTACAGTTAGCGGATACTATTCCGAGAAAAGCACTAAGGCTCTACAGGTACAGTAATTGTCCGAAAATATACAAATATGGGCAAACCACTGTACAGAAGGGTGCATTCATACTATTATGGTCTGACTTAATGGACAACACCTTGTCTTCTTTATCAACTATTCATCTAATTATTTCAACACATGGACTAATTAAAGGACTT